ATAGAATCGGTAAAAAAATATCCATGTCTATGGAACACATCACTAGATGCATACAAAATGACTGACGTCAAAGATGCAGCTTGGGAGAACGTAGTAAAAGAAACTCAATTATCAGACGGTAAGTGCAATTTATTTTATTAAGTATTTCGTTGAAGTAATGTTGTAATACGAGTGTGTTGCCATGGAACGGCGCCCTCGTTGTTGAAATAACGACAAAATTGTTCTCGAACGTGATAGGCTTCAATATTATCATTCGATATTTGATTCTCCACGTTTGTGTTGGTAAATATAGTCGTGTCCAAACCAGATTCATTATTATCTAGATAGCCAGGCAGCTTGTCAGTTAAAAATTTGTGTAGAACACACGTTGCCTTTATTACTTTTTCCACTGTTTCTATTTTACATTCAAATTCTTTACGGTATACGTACCATTTTCGTGATAATACATCAAATGTAGCTTCGACAATACGACGAGCTCTTGAAATTCTATAATTGTATGTTCGTTTTTCGTTATTTAAATTATCACGTGGATATGGTCTCATTAAATTAGGCATCAGAGGGAAAGCTTCGTCTCCAATAAAAACAAATGGTACAGGTTCTCCATTTTGATACAAGGGTTGCGGCTGAGGTAGATTCAGTCTGTTTTCTCTCTAACGAATTCCGAATATACTATTAGCAAAATTACCACCATCGCTGAACCTTCCCATTGAACCTACATCTACCATAATTATTCTTCGGGTAGCGTCGGCTACGCACATCATTACAGTTGAAAACCTGTGTTTATAACAGTAAAATGAGGACCCAGATCTTGGGGGTGCAAAAATATACACATGCTTGCCATCAATGGCCCCGACACTGTTTTTGAATTGCCAGATTTCTTCAAATTGTTTTGAAATTTTTTCCAATCATTTTCATTAAGTTCTGGCATAACCAAAGGTTGTAGTACTGTCCACAAGGCATCGCAGACATCGTTTATAATTCTTGGAACAGTCGAATTTCTAATCCTAAAATTTTCAGCTATTTGTGAAAATTTTGCACCAGTGGCCAAGTATCTGTAATAATTAAAATGTGTATTGTATGTGTAATTTAATGTTAATAATAATTTTATTTATTTCAGTAAAAATGGCTAAAACTAAGTGGAAAAAGTTGAGAGACAACCACCGGGACGCATTAAAAAGGAAGAATGCCACCAGAAGTGGGCAGAGTCTTAACACGTTTTTCGCCATAGTTGAACAGTCAAAATTTACATATATTTTATTAAATGTTTATTGATATAGTTTACTGAGATACGGATTTAGGACTAGATGAGGCCTCAATCGCATGTATAGTTATTGAATTAATCTAAAAAAAAACCACTAGGTCACTGGTGCCCTACGCGGCGCTATAATGTAGAAACTTGAGTTTCCGTTATTGTGGCGCCAGGCAGGTCACCCCTCCGGTCACCCGCCCCCGCAGTCGTTTACCTGCGCTCAAACGGCACGCACGTTATTGTTTGTTTTTGCTATACTCGCTGCTGATGTTTAATCGCTATGATGGATTTTGACGACTTTGACGTAGATTTAGACATAACACAAGAAGATCTACATCACATTGATTTATTGGAAAGTAGTATTTTCCGAGAGATTGCAGAAAGCAGTGAAAAATGCGACGAGCACGTCTGTCCGTTTACTTATTTAATTATTTATATAATTTCTACTTTGTTTTAGGCATGAAAGAACCGTTTGCAAGTCAGCTACGAAACAGCCCACCCGAAGGCTATTTTAGTTTAGTAGTTCCAGACCAAATCTTTGAAGATATTGCCATATAGACGAATGTATTTGCTGAACAAGTTGATCGAAGTTCAAAGTTCAAAGTTCAAAAGATTATTGTAACTGAATCTGAAGGTAGGATAAGACTTCAATCTCTTCTAGATTAACTACTAATAGGATATTAAAAACAATTCAGCACAACTCTGCAGACAAAAAATCCTTAAAACTGATGAGCAAATGGGGTTTTGAAGGGTCTTCTTCTCAAAGTAACTATAAACAAAAGTCAAAGTCCGATATAAAAATTGACGATTCCTCAGTATTTATGATTAGTTTGGTTCCGCTTCGTTTAGAAGAAGGTAGTGGTACTATCTTATGGAAAAATCCTACCCCCTCATCAACAAACTACTGTCGTCCAATTGGTTTTATATTTGCCAAAGAATCAAATGATTTGATTAAGAAGGAGAGTGCTTCCATGGAGGAAGAAATACATAATCTTGTTCCTACAGTTGTAGACAATTTTGAGATAAGTCATGTTTTGTACATGACTATGATTGATGGGAAAATTTCCACTGTGATTTCCAACACTTCTTCTGCAGCAGTTTGTAATATTTGTAATACTCCACCTAGTAAAATGAATGACTTGGACTATGTATCCAAAAGACCCATCAGAGATGATATGTATAAATATGGTTTGTCTTCGCTCCATATGTGGATAAGATGCATGGAATGTATTTTACACATTTCCTACAATTTAGATTTTAAAAAGTGGTCGGTACGAAATGACGATAAATTGTTAAAAGAAATAAAAAAAACTATAACCCAAGAAGAATTCAGGGAAAGAACTGGTTTATTGATTGACATAGTGAAACAGGGATTTGGCACAACCAATGACGGTAACACCGCAAGAAGGTTTTTTGAAAATTTTGAAATATCTGCCGAAATAACGGGTATTCACCCTGATTTAATTAAAAGATTTGCCGTTATCTTACGAGTCATTTCATCTGGGCAATTGATTGACACAGGCCTTTTGAGAGAATATTGTAAAGAAACAGCAGTGCTCTATGTAAACTTATATTCATGGTACTATATGCCCTCAAGTATACATAAATTGCTGATACACGGTGCTGACATTTGTGAATCTTTCTCCTTTATTCCGATAGGCATGCTTTCAGAAGAAGCCTCCGAAGCAAGGAATAAGGATTTCCGGAACGATAGAATGGCACATACAAGAAAAATCGGTAGAGCTGAGACTAATTTGGACATAATTCACAATTTTCTAATTAGCTCAGATCCTTATATCACACATATGAAGCCAAAGTTTACATAAAAAACTTTTTCCAGAGGCTAGTGCGTTGATCTTGAATAATGAATTACTTTCAGTGGAAAACGAGGAAAAAGAAAACAGTGATCCAAACGTTAATCTTTTAACCTAAATTTTTTTATGTATCTTTCGAAGTGAATCATGGTCTAGACGCACTAGTGCTCGTTACAAGCACTTATACAGAGTGTGTTAGATAAAGACAGCAAGCAGCGTCCGCATCGCAACGAACGCACGCAACGTGATTAGTTTAGTTGAGAGAAAGTTACAGGGACGCAAGCACGCATTTATTTGTCCTTTTCGCTCGTTCACCGTATCACGGAACTCGTAGGTATAGTCAAAACGAAACAAAAGGAGTTACATACCTATTAAATAATTTAATACCTATGTGCAGTAGTGTAAGATAGACAGATAGAAACTAGTGTTTTGTGTTGTGTGCGTATATCTCAAATGTGTTGCACTTTTTTTTTCAGGAAAATGACTTTTAAAATAATTGAAACAATTGAAAAAGGCCAAAAACGACTATGCATTGTACCGAGTTTTTGGGAGTCTAATGGTATTTTAAGATGGCCAAGAAAGCGACTAGATGTCAACAAATTAGTCAAGGACGAGAATTCGCGGCCTCTAGACAATTGGTCTACCTCGAGTTGCTGTCTAAAAAGACAATTACTACCATCATACGAAGAAGCAACACAAGAACTAAATCTAATGTTACAAAATAGCGACACCGAAATTGATAATGAGACAGAATTAATCACAACAAACAGTACTAATAATAACTTCAGTTACAACACTTTAGCTGGTCAATTGGTAAGCATATTTTTTTTAAATATTATTAGCTCATCCCGCATGTATAATTATTGACGTATCTTCTTGGGTTTATAAGTAGTGTATACTAGCATATTAGCATGGGTATCACCGCTGTTGCGCCGCTGCGCTGATTTGAAATCTCCCGTGCTGGCAGTGCTAGCGTCTCTCACCTCCACGAGTTTGACGCGCTGCGCTGTGGCGTTCTAAGAGATTCGCCATGCGCCATTAATGCCTAAAACATGCTTCAGATAAGACCTACTTGGCCTTTTGGTTACTTATGTTTGTTTAGATAGGTACCTACTTAATAATATTATATTGCGCTATTGTAACTGAAGAGTATGGACGTACCTACATTGCCTTTTTTTCGATTTGATGATTTCAATTTAGCAAGAATGTTTGGCGAAGGAAAAAATGTATGGTGTAGTCTGGAGGATTACTAGAGTAAAATATATAACTGTTGTTAATTATGATTATGACAAAAATGGCTGGTGTGTAGGTAGCCGGTGGACGTTAGTAATATTTTCTAAATATATAAAACTCAAAGGTGACTGACTGACATAGTGATCTATCAACGCACAGCCCAAACCACTGGACGGGTCAGGCTGAAATTTGGCATGCAGGTAGATGTTATGACATAGGAATCCGCTAAGAAAGGATTTTTGGAAATTCCCACTCTAAAGGGGTAAAAAGGGGGTCCACGCGGACGAAGTCGCGAGCGGAGCGCTAGTTACCTATATACAAGATGCATTTAAAATGACTCTCCAAATTTTTTCTAGGCATTAGGTATCGTTAATAGATCACATATATGAAAAAAAAACAGTATGTAAAATTTTCAAAATGAAGTGTAAACTTTTTGTAATTACAAGATAATTATAACATTCGCATTGTCACATTAGTTATGAACGAAACGAGCAGGGGTAGCAAGGGGCGCGGGCGCAGGGGATGCACCGCGCATGCACCGCCGACGATATCTGCTCGGTTTTTTATTTAGTCGGCAACATCAGTCACCCGCGCACAATCCCTTTGAACGCACGCGCTTCCGCCTTTGCTTACGTGTTGCGCGCCACCCGCCGCAGCCCCACACTTCGCGCGTCGGAATGTATTCCAATCGCGAATATTACGAAATGGTGCGGTGTTACATTTTAAGCGGTGAAAGTTTAAATGCAGCTCGGAGACTATACGAAACAGAATCCATCCCAGCCCTGCAAAATCAGGGATTAATAAACCCCGCAGTACCTAGTCGCGAGACATTTTTGGCTGTGAACCAAAGGCTATTGGACTATGGTCAATTTACTACGCCTGCTCACGCTCGCGGAGGTGGAAGATCAAGACTTGCAGTTGAAATCGAAGATGAAATCTTGGATTTCTTCGAAAGGGACCCGCGAGCCAGTACACGAGATGCCGCACGCCGATTTAACGTAAGCCACTATGCCGTGTGGAAGCTGCTGAATGTGACAGGGCTACACCCTTACCACTTCCAAAAGGTCCAAGCTCTACACGATGGAGATAATGTGCCCCGTCGCACCTTTTGTGAATGGCTGATTGCACACCCTAATGCCAACATTTTGTGGACTGACGAAGCATTGTTTACTCGTGTGGGGCTTTATAACCATCATAACGAACACTGGTGGTCCTTCAGAAATCCGCATATGATTCGGGAAACCCACCATCAAGTGCGCTTTAGTGTCAATGTGTGGGCCGGTGTTATATGCACGAAAATACTGGGGCCGTACTTCATCGAAGGGCCGCTCACCGGCGGCAACTTCCTCGATATGTTGCGGCATGTCATTGCCGATTTCATGGAGGACTTGCCCGTGGCCTACTTCCGGGATTTTTATTTTCAAGTGGACGGTGCACCACCCCATTACGCCGCCGCCGTCCGAGATCATCTCACCATAGAATATGGCGATCGATGGATTGGACGCGGAGGCCCCATCGTGTGGCCTGCTCGATCGCCGGACCTAACACCGTGCGACTTTTATTTGTGGGATGAAATCAAAAGACGTGTGTATTTTGAAGAAGCACAAAGCCTCGAGGACTTAAAAGTGCAAATTAGTGCGGCATTTGACCACGTGAAAAATGACACTGTAGTGCTCGCCAAATTAAAAGACAATGTGCAAAAACGTGCAAGACTCTGTGTGGAGAGGAACGGTATGCACTTTGAACAATTATTAAAGTATACGTAGGTAAATAGTTAAATTAGGTAGGATAAAGTGATTAGTTGATTATGTACATAAAGTTGATGATTTTTTAAATACGCCTGATTGCAAAGAATATCTAGTTAAGTACCTACTTTTTTATTATTGGTTTAACTAAACAGAATTTTAGGTAACTTGATATTTGCTTACCTACTTATTTATAAATTTAAAGCAGTATAGTTATTGTAATAGTAGGTATCTAATAGAATTTTTGCAATTTGACGGTCCTAAGCCCGTAAAAGTATGAAGGAAAGGTTTCAACTTTATGTACCATTTGCCCTAGCATGAAAAAACGAAAACATTTTAGGTAGCTGCTACTAACTCGCAAACGTACTTGTATTACTATCAATGAATTGCGGGAAGGGGGGGGGGGGGGGGGAACTAACGTAGCGCGTAAAGCGCACGTACTGGGCAGCGGGAGCGTCCACAAATGTATGTTTTTTGAAAATAACTTGGTGACGATATAACTCAACATTTTTATTCTAAACGACATAAAAAGAAAAAACACGTATTTCATTATTTGTCGTAAAGATTAACATACTAAAATTTGGAGAGTGGTTTTAAATGCTTCTTGTATTCTGTGGCGGTAGTGGCAAGTCGTTACATGTGATCTATGCGTGAGAAATGGCGTGTTTGTACATCTCTCTTATCGTGAAAGTTTTACTCGGTCAGACCAATTTTGGTATAAGTTTTTAAACTGCTTTATGGGTCTGACAAACGTTTTTTACTTTACATGCCATATCTACAAAAAATTACGAGAATAACTGTGATTTTTCTTTTTTCATATCTTAAAAAATGGCTGAGATATTTACGATCAAAGTACGTATTTGGGCCCGAAAGTTTTTAAATACGAGAGCGGGTGCTGCTTAGCCGATGACGTCACAACCTGTGTCATTCGACAGTCGCGCTCTCGTTCGCACGCCGCGGCGCAGTAAAAATCAAAATTATAAAATTCTGTGAGGTAAAAATGGGGAAAAAATACTGTATTGTGCCACAGTGTTTTAATTCAACAGTTAAAACACCCGATAAACTCTTTTTTATGTGCCTTTGGACCCAAAAATGAGGAAAAAGTGGATGACAGCACTGATTTCTAAACTATTATTTTTATGAATCTGATTTTATGAATCTAATAAATAACTCTAAATGAACAAACTAAAGCGGACATTGCATAAAATTAATCAAAAATATTTGGTTTACTATAAAAATATAATAATAGGTAGGTAAGTATTTGCCTAATTATAAAACTGATAACTACGTAAACTGAAAACTGATAACTACTAATACCTACCTACTAGGACTTACCTACATCTGTATAGGGTAAATAGTGACATTTTCTTTAAGTTTATACTAACTAATGAAACACATAAAATAATCATCGACAACCTCGAGATGTGGATTGCCAGTACCTAGGTAGGTACTTACTTAGTACCTATTCTTTATCGCTGGTAGGTAGGTACTAAATGAAACACACAGTTTCAGTAAGGTTTAAGTTTGAACAAATACCTAGCCGAGAGTAGCTAATGCTTACTTAGAACATAGGTAAATACCTTTTCATCTTTATTCCACCAATTTCGACAGCCGTAAAATCCAGACTATTTATGAAATATTGTGCCACCATCAAACTATCCACTCCTGGCAGATTGTCCGACTGACCTTTTAAAAAACCTTCTTCCATTCTACACACTACACGTTTCACTTTAATGTAATCGGATATACTTAGAGGACAATTTGTATTACCTATTTCTTTGAAATACAAGCGCACAAAGACGATCAAAACAAAATGAAACGAGACGCGCGTAATTTAGTAGGGCCAACGCACCGGACCGAGCACCGAGCCGCGGGCTGAGCAAGGCTGTGATGTCATAGTATGAGCGTGAGTAATCTCGGAAATTTAAAAAAGGCTTAAACTTCTAGTCGTTATAACTTCGGAAATACTGCATGTATTGAAGTGAAATAAAAACTAATGTAATGTACATGATCTACGCTCTGATTTAAGGTGTATTTGGTAGTAATATTTTGACCCTTTTGTGTTCTCCATTGTATTTTAACATAAGAATCTTGTATAAGAACCGGAACAGCAACCGAGTCCGATGTACTATACCTACCTTTAGTTCAGAATATCAGAATCACCAGACTACGGTCCTGTGATTTCAATGTAGGTCCGTGATCAAGTTTTGTACATAACTATTGACAAATATCTCATTAATTAATTTTATATGTGATTTCAGGCATTCAGTCAACCAGAAAAGCCGTCAATTTCATCTACAGCAACGTCAGCAACAACATCCACACCAGTAGTTCCAACATCTGCAGCACAATACGTCATTCAATATGTGGATGAATCTGATGTGGCAGCAACGGTTCCACAGCAAAACACTGATGTAAATCAAATTGAAAATTATCTAAAATTGATTTTAGACAATCAAATTAATATGGCACAAACAATAAATGTTCTAATAGACAACCAGAAAAAAATGTTTCATAAACTTGCAAGTCTATCTGTGCAGATAGAATACGAATTTTCCAAGTGTGACAATACCAAAAATACAGATGTGGTTGCACTGGGTAAATCCAGCAATCCAATCGAAAATGAAGCTTTTGTCATAAAACCAATTGATTCAGTTAAAGAGCTAGAGGAACTGGAATCACGTTTAAGTGACAAGCAGCAAAAAATTCAACTGCTGAAGCAATATTCTTTTATATGTTCACAATCAGATGGAAAAGGTGCAACATGTGCATACAAAATATTAGACATGTTTTTTACTCGTGATTTTTTATGCAAGTGTTCCTGGACAGGAGGCAGTAGAAAGAGTGAGGACATAAAAGCCCCTCTAAAGGCTTTTAAAAATGTCCTCAATTTCTTCCACCAACTAATACGTAGCTGGGACCAAACTTATACCGTTGAAAGCAATGAAAACTTTTTCAAAACTGTGCTTAAAAATTCAGTAAAGAGAAAACACAGCAAAAATGAACGCGCATCAACAAAACGTAGGAGAACAAAAAAAGTTAAACTTATTAATCAAAATGAATCTAACACCAATCAAATTGATAATGTGGTGGTCATAGTAAACGACGCTGCAAATGAAACAGTAAACACCAACGAAGATGCTACGAATGAAAGAAAAGAACAAGAGGAAGAGGTCATAGTAGACTTCGCTGCAAATAAAACAATAAACACCAACGAAGATGCTACGAATGAAAGAAAAGAACAAGAGGAAGAGGAGGAGGAGGAATAGAGTATGTTAAAGTAGGAATCTCTCTACTATAAGTACTACTCAATAAGTACTACTAAATAATATGAAAAAAATATTTTGTCATTCCATGCTAATTGGGCGCGCAGCTGATCGATTTAGTATGGGGAGCCTAATTTTTTTTTATATTTCGACCCATGTTCCCTGGGAAATAGATTCGTGTCCTTTCGGCTTGATACACCCTTTCCGTTACATCCTGTATATTATGTGCCATAATTGTCCTATTTTAGTTACCTAGCTTAGTCAGAATTTATAAAAACACGTAATCTCGTGACTGTGATTGTAGTTTAAGACACAAAATTATGTAACTGTTTTTCTTGTGTATCTAGTAAATAAGTAACTCTTAGATTATTTTTAATTACTTAAGATATCCACTGATGGATATTTCTATTATGTTTGAAGTGCCTACACAGGTTTTTCAATGAATAAAAATACATTTTCTCAATGACAAGGTTTTTTATTTCTCGTTTAAACTGTATGTAAAAGGGGTACGAAGTATAAGTAATTTTTGTGATCAGTACATACTAGTTTTGTTTTTATATCTTTGGGACTAACTATGGTCTCTGTCCGCCTGGTAGTAGGTAATTTGGCTTTGAATATTTTCAAAAACGATGATTTAATCGGTAGTTCAAAAACATCGGATATGTCAGTAATTTTATAATATGTAATCTTTATTTCACTGTTAACAGCGGTTTCTATTTTTGTTACTTCCAAAATGTCATTATTGTTGCATAATACATATTTATTTTGAGGCTTTACAGAAATTTTAAAATCGCTAAAATTTAGTGCATTTATTTTTCTGCTATTGGTCGTAACAAAGGGTTCCACATATGCGATTTGCCGACTTTCTCTGCCCTTACTCATTTCTGAAGCTGAATCTTCACTAAATTTCTTTGCCACTTGAGCAAGAGGTTTGTTGCCATGTCTTAGCATTCTTTTTATTAAATACAATTTATTCTCAAAAGGATAAGCGCTAAACGTATGTAGCGGGCCAAATCGTTGCACTTCGTCTGTGAGTTGCACTACATTATGGACATTGCTGGTTATATAATCTGGCCCATAAAAGTCTTTATAATGCTCAACAAAATATTGTAGGAGCTCTTTTGCCAAAGGAAGAAAATGACTATAGTTTTTACAAGAGCATATTGTTATACCACAAAAAAATGCCAGAAAATGTGAAAATGCGTCATGTTGTAATACTTCTGGAAGTATGACAATGCTCAAATATAGTAAAAATGATCGATATTCGGAAGCTTTCCAGTGAGAAAGACAGTCTAGTCCTCTCACTGATCTGTGAATTTCAGATGGCAATTTTCGTTTTACAAGGAAATTCGAAACTGTTTCAGAATTTCTGGCACTCCATTTGGTAATGTATTTTCCGAAATTACCGTTGCGCCAACCAACTAAGAGCCGCTTCATGATTCCTAAATCAACAAGGTGTAGAGAATCTGCTATCGGCAAGTCTTGTATCATGTTAACAGGCAACCTCAGTATAGGAGAATCTTTTTTATGGTGAGGCCCATATTTTTTATCACGAAATTCTTGATCTGTTCTAGGGCGGCAATTGGTTTCAGGAAATGTCACTGTATGTGATAAGTGTGAATATTCCCCTACAGTAACACATTTCAGACAACCGTGTTTTGCATTAAAATTACATACACCTGAGAATTAAATAATACAAGAATTATTATTGATACCACAGTCGAAATTTTAATTAAACAAAACTACGAATTAATCTGCGTATATAATTTTACATAACTACGTTTTGGATACTTTATAATATCTAGTAGCTAGCTTAATCTGTAATTTGTAATAAGATCATATACTTTGGGTACCTTTAATGTAAGCTCTCGCTGGAGAATCGCATATAAAACATCTGATTTCAATGGATACTATTTTATTTGGTTTTTCGATATAAATTCCTTCTTTTATTAAATTTCCTATTTCTTTTACAAAATCATCTAAATATTGATCAATATTTTTTGGTTTTCCAACACCAAAATAGATACCAATAACAAATGGATCTATGTCAGGTCTTTCATAGATATTGCATAATATTGGCCAAAATTCTTTATTGGAGCTTTTAAATATTGGGAGACCGTCAAAATTAAAATTTAATTTCACTTTGTTAGGAACATCAACCCAATTTTCCAATGTTTTACGTAGACATTTAGTTAGACCATTATGCCAATATTCTCCATTTTCTATAGTCTTCATATGTATTTGTTTGACAGTACCTAAAATTGTTCTGGCGTCCTTTGGTAAAATTCCCGGAAATCTGCAATTTAAAATTGACTAAGTCGCTAAGAGCTATTTGAGATATATTTCTTTCGATAGCCCTTTTTCCTTAATTTGACGACGGAATGTTAAATTTTTTGAAAAATCATCATCATTATTTGAACTTGCACTGCTGCATGAATCTAAATCACTATCAAGTTCCGGAGGCTTTTCTAAATCCTCACTTTTATTATCGTATGCCGTTTTTGCTACGGAACCTTCATTAGACGTTGACTGAACTCGCGCTTGACTATCGATTGTTCGATCAATGAATTTGTTCTTTTCAATGTCTTCACATGACGGCTCAGTATCACTGGTTTTGTTTGGTTGATAATTAGTAGTATTTTGATATTCTCTTTTAATTTTCCTTCTTACTCCACCACATGTTTTTCTTTTTTTCCACATATTTCTATTCACCACACAACGTTTTTACAAATCAAGGACAGTAATACAGATTAAAGCTGTATTACAGAATTAATTTATTATTATAGTTCTATAAAATCATATTTGACAGAAGTTATGAAACTATTACACTGACAAGAGTGTATAGTTACGCATTAATAATAAGCTTTAGAAAGTAGTTTTAATATACCATTATACAGAAACAAGTATAAAGTGATACCATTTTATAACTTATAGCTGTAGTAAGTAAGTGATCACATGCAAAATACAGCCTCTATGCAGCTTGAAGGATAACATTAGATTGAAGTGTCAAAAAATGCTTAGGGTTTTAAAGTGGAGTTCAAATATTCTGTTTTAAAGCCTTAAGTTTACACGGAGTATTTTATAAAAACTTAGTACAGCTTTAGCTGTATAATAACGGTTTAATCACTTTTATAAGTAAATAATCTTTTCTTGACACCTTTATGGGTCACCAGTAGAACTCTAAGTTCTAATAGTGCTGTATATTTGATGTCGGCAACGCTTGCGTGCTGCTTGGAAAGAAGCATTGAGAAACGAAGAAGACACAATATATAAAAATTTGTAATTTTATGAAAAAAAAAGAAAACATGTGATTTACTGTTATAATTTTTTGCTATTCCCACAACGGCGGCGGTAAATTTTTTTGGTTTGTGGTTTTTTAATAATTAAATAACAAAATATTAAAATATGAGTTGTTTTTCTTCAATTCGGTATCGTAATACATACACACAAATATATACATCATGCTAATCTCCCAGAAGGGTAGGAAGAGACAACGAATCTTCATTTCTCGTAATCCACACTCAGGCGCTTCATCAATTCACATAATATTTTTAATGCATGCTCGTCGGTTTCGAGTACTTCTCGCTTGGCCAAAGTCTCATCATATTCAAACTCAAACACACAAACTCACACACTCAAAATAAACAAACATTCAAAACAAACAATTTATCTAACGGAACAAAACAAAGTCTCATCACATTCAAACTTAAACACGCATCAAAAAATAATTAGGTACTTACTTCAAACATACTGCTAGCCACTCTTGGGTACAGATAGATCTCCTGTAGTTAGTATCTTGCTTATATATATATGAGGTTCAATTAAATTATGTAGTTCGTAGAAAATATTCCTCGGTAGTCTGTAGGAGCTGGTAAAACTTTCATCATCTAACTCATTAAACAGAGTAAAAAATTCTCCATGACTGGTATGGTACTTCAAGTGACTTCTTCTCCAAAACCGATGTTTTCTTTTGTTTAAGTAGTATAAAGCTATCAATTCTGCTTCTTCAGACTGTAGTTCTTCTTCTTCAATTAAAAGAAAATACTTTTTTTGTAAAAGCGACATAACGTCTACCTTTCGTGTCAGAACGCGTACTGAGCACTCAACACCTTGCACACTCTCAACGTTAGCTAACGCACATCTTCGCGACACAATACGCATCTCCGCACAGCTTCGGTGGATTCACCCGAACCGAAAAACATCTCTTCTCGTCTGCACATTGGCCATCTCCGCACATCTCCGCTTTGGTGGAGTGTGGGCCTTAACCATGCATAGATATTACCTTTGCAACACGAGATAAATAAGTTATATTGTATATTTTTAATATTGTGTTAACAATAATCTTAATACTTTTTGTCTTTAGATACTCACAGTTATAGAGTGTTTTACTTCGCAGATTGAGAGAAAAATATTCATAAACAAATGGAACGAGAAATAACACTTGTAATTGACGTTAATAGTATAATACAAAAGATGTAAGGGAAATATTGTGTATTTTGTTTTCCACTAATACAACAACAATATTTGTTTAACGACTTTTTATAATTTGACACATTTTACTTTCATATAAATATCAATTTAATTTTACGTCTAAATGTTCTTATCTCTGTAATTTGGTAAACAAACCCTTCCACCAATTTTGTTAGTCATCTATTCAACATTCATACAAAATATAAAATGTGTGACGGAGTTACATACAAACTTATTTTTCTATTTTTTTGAGTTAAAACACTAAGCTATTTTAAAACAACACTTTTCTTGCCCCACCACACATACTTTGGCCATATGATGATGATAATAATTATAATAATAATAATAAAACTAACTCACCTTTATTTTATTTTTGCATAATTCACAAGTGCTCGTATTTGATTCTATATTGTACTGAAAGTAACGATGAAGTGCGTCTTTTCTAGTCAGAGCCATTCTTCACACGGCAATTCACTTTATTATTAATTTTATTACAATAATTCACATACGTAAACGTGACTGTCCGGTGTGCAGACTGCGGATTCCAAAGAAAGTGACAAGTAATAGAGCACGTAAACTAATGGCAGAGCAGCGTTGCCAGATACACTGTAATTACAGCAGATCTACTGTATTTTTGTACGATCTACTGTACACTGTATTATTAAAATTACAGTGTATGGAGAACACTGTAATTTTGTCGACGGACAAAATTGATATGTGACTTGATAAATTAGAAAATTACACCACCATGTTAGTTATCGAGTCGAATATCAAAGCCTGAGAATTGCCCTCCTAGAAGAATAGGGTCGCTGTGTAGACTATCAGGGAATTCCCCGGGCATAGACTAAATAATAACAGCATAGGGAATGTAGTATTAAGCGCCCAAATTGTGTTGATCGTGTTATGACTATGTTTTCAAGCCTATCGAGATCAACTTAAATTATTAGTGTACTCTGTAATAGTGAATTGGTTTCAATTAGAGTTGTATTACGAACTTATGACACGTTCAAGTTCTGTGTAGCTCCGTAAAACCGTAAAAGTTATAATTTTGTTTGAAGGCTTGTTATTAAAATGTCTGATACATCTAGTGAATGTGATCAAAGCGGACCATCAACATCTAAAAAACCAAAAAAGGTACATTATAAACAAAAATTCAGAGACGAGTGGTTAAGAGACAATAATTTCAAAAATTGGCTGCGACGTGACCCAAACGACCCATATCGTGCTGTTTGTGTTTTGTGTGATGCTAAAATTATAGCTGACAGAGTGGCGACAAAGAGACATGGTGAGGGTGCTAAGCATGTAAAAAAAACTACTGCAGTGCCAAGACAATCTTCGATTGCCACTGCGTTTGAAAAGACTAAGCAGTCCGATGATGAAAAATGCAAATCATCAGAGATAAAGTTAGCCGCTTTTATGGCAGAGCATAAAATATCTCTCAGGGCGATGGACCACTTAATTGATTTATTGCCCATTATGTTTCCTGACTCTCAGATTGCAAGAAATATGAAAATGAAGAGAACGAAATGTCAAGCAATAATAAACAATATTCTAGGTGAATGGGAAAAACAAGATTTGTGTGCTGATCTAAAGGAGCAAAAATTCTCAGTCATGATTGATGAAAGCACTGATATCGGAGCAGTAAAAACTATGTGCGTTGTGGTTAGATATTACTGTGCAATAAAAGGTCAAATAGTAAGCAGATTTTGGGACCTAATTCAAATATATGGCGAGGACAGCTCTGCTACTGTGGGTGCCGCCGCCACAGCTCAACATCTCTTCGAAGCAGTAATAAAATCATTTGAGGAAAATTCGATTCCTATTGATAACATTATAGGATTTGGATCAGATGGTTGTAATACAATGATGGGGTGTCACAACTCTGTTTCGAGCCGGTTTAGAGAAAAATGTCCTTGAATCATTGTTCTAAAATGTGTTTGCCATTCCCTACACCTTTGTGCAAGTGACGCATGCAAACAGTTACCAGCTGAATGTGAAAAGCTAACGCGAGATATATACAATTATTTTGCGACCAGTAGCAAAAGACAGTCGCTACTAAAAGAGTTTCAAGTATTCACAGAAACAGATGTACACAAAATTTTGAAACCGGCTCAAACGCGATGGTTATCACTGAGTGCTGTAGTGCAAAGAATTCTGGAACAGTGGAATGCACTAACGTTGTTTTTTGATGGCAGATGGCTCGAAGACAATGAATGTTACGGAATACATGTGCAGTTAAATGATCCGGTAACAAAAGCATACTTTTTCTTCTTGAACTGGATGCTACCAAAATTCACTGAAGCTAATACGCTATTTCAGAGTGAGATTCCAGTGATCACAAAACTGAACTCTAAAATGTGCGATCTTTTTTACGAGCTTATATCGACGTATATGACAACGGAACTTATAGCAACCACTCAACTAGAAAACATTGACCCAAGTAATGAAAATAATTTCAAAAGTTTAGATGATATCTACCTTGGCTTGGGAGTATCTAAACAGTTTTCAACAAATGAAATATCAACAGAAAGAAAAATGGATTTCAAAAGAAAATGCCGAAATTTTTTGATCAAAGCGTGTATAGGCATTCGCAAAAGATTTGCGCTAAATGAGCCAGTGTTGGTCGGAATATCCAAACTAAACCCCGCAAGTTGTCTCAATATCGCAGATCGAGATGAGTCAATTCAAAAGACACTAAACTTGATGCCAAGATTGGCACCGACTTCTATGGACGAACAACAAGCTTTGGACGATCAATGGCGAAAATTGCCAAAGTTAAAAGAACAATTCGATACAACAATACGGCCTGACGAATTCTGGCACAAGGTTTGTATCCAATACTTTATATTTATTATATAAATACTCGTTTAACTATTTATTTTGTTTGCAAAATACAATATTTTTATTTTAACACAAATTTTGTTTTTCAGGTGAAACAGTTGGAAGAGTTCAGCACGATTGGAAAATACATGCTCAATATTTTGGCTCTTCCGAACTCTAACGCGGAATGCGAGAGAATGTTTAGCCAAATTAACGACACCAAAACGAAGAAACGAAATAGATTAATAACTAGAACAATAAGAGGTAACATGTTAGCGCAACAAACGGTTAAACGTAATAGCACGAATTGCATTAATTTTAAACCAGCTGAGAAAATGATAAAGTTATTTAATTCGGGGATATATAAAACTGAAACGGCTATCGGACTAAATGACAGCGACAGTGAATGACAAGCGGTTGATTAGTAAACTAGAAAGTAAATTATCGCTTAAATTTAAATAATAAAAGTTTTTAATATCTACTGTAAAATTTACTGTATTTTATTTTTACTTCTACTGTAATTTTATTTCAAACACTGTATTTTTTTGCCCAGAACACTGTAATATCAGTTTCGTAATCTGGTAACACTGTGGCAGAGATACATTAGCGTGGCGTGGCGTGGCGCAACGCGCCAGAAGCTTATCGGATTCATACATTTAGTATGGGCAGAAACAAATTTGCATGTCGTGTCGTGGCGCAACGCGCTCTGGCGTGGCGCCGACTGCTTGCTACCGATTGCGCCACGGCGGTGGTGGGGGTGATGGCGCGACACGACACGACAAGACCAATGTGTTTCTATACTGGCGCGTGGCCGTGGCGCGTAGCTCGTGGCGCGCACATCCAGTAAACGTTTTAAAATTAATTTGAAAAAATTTGAAGTAAAATGGCTGACGATCTAATCGAGCTTGTTCGTCAACGGAAAGTGATTTACGACTCAAAGTGTAAATATTACAAGGATCATTCAATAAGAAATGCTGCTTGGGAAGAAATTGGTGAAATTTTGAAAGAACCAGGTAAAGAAATAAAATTATATTTTACTTAAATAGGTTTTTATTTTAAAAGGATACATGAATATGATACATTATACAAAGTTTTTACAAAAGTTTAATTATTAAGCTGAGTTATTAAGTCTACCCCGGCGAATCATTTCCATTTGCCATGGTACGCTCCCTTCTTGACTAATAAAATACTCTTTATATTTTTCTCTTACATAAACAGCGTTTTTTGATGGGTTTCTCGGCAAACCTTCAATATTAAGAAGACAATCGCTGTTGCTGCTATGGTCAGTAGAATCCATCACATTTTCTTTAGGATCATCCATGGTTTGTGATGTATGTGTTCTTAAAAAATTATGAAGGCAACAAGATGCTAGCACAATCTTGTCTACCATGTCAGGCTGGACTTGCATAGGTCCATGAAATACTCGAAACCGAGCCCGTAAAATACCAAACGCATTTTCTACACACCGGCGTGCACGTGATAAGCGATAATTAAATATTTTATTTGCATCATTGTTAACTAGCTTGTCTTTGGGATAAGGTTTTAATAAATACGTTTTCAACGGGAACGCTGCATCATCAGCAATAATTGTGTATGGCATAGGTTGAGAGCTTTGACTCAGTGGTTCATCCTGTGGTACATTGAATGCTTTTTGCTCGAATAATCTTCCCATCCATGATTTGTCGTAAATGCCACCGTCACTGTTTCGACCATACGCGCCTACGTCAATCATGATAAATTTGTATTGAGCGTCCACTAGTGCAAGTAAAACTATGGAATGTACTTGTTTATAATTATAGAAAGTAGAACCTGCGTTTATTGGACAAATTATGTTAACGTGTTTGCCATCTAATGCTCCAATACAATTCGGAAAATGCCACAATTGTTTGAAGTTATTTGCAATATCTTTCCACATTTGTTCTGAAGGTGTAGGCATTACAATAGGTGCCATATTTTTCCAAATGGCTTCACACACTTCTTGTACTATAACTCTTACAGTTGCGAATCCCATGCGATAGTTGAACGCCAATGATCGAAAAGTGTTGCCAGTAGCTAAAAATCTGAAAATAAATAAACAATTACTATTACTTGTTACAGTAAACAAATGCAAGGATGACTGGGCAAAATTAAGAAATGCTTTCGCCAGTGCTTTGAAGAGACGAAGGAACAAGAAAAGTGGACAGGCTGCGGAAACGTTTGTGCCCTGGAAATATGAAGAGAGCATGGGCTTTCTTCTTCCTTACATCGAATGTAGGAACACAAAAACAAATGTGATGCCTTCACTGGAATCACCACCTTCAGAGGACTCTATCGACGATAGTGTTCCAGCAAGTCCAAGTACTTCTCGAAGTCAATCTCAATCCAGTTCAACGCGTGAAAAAACTAATTCCGAACCCAAACTACAACAGTTGTACGATTTAATGAAATCTTCGCAAGATTTAAGACGCCAGAAACATAATTTCAAACAAGACATGGAC